GCTGCTTTGGTTGTGAGGTACGGCCAGCGTCGGGCAATGTGACTGGGATGGAAAAAAGCATTCCTGGTCAGGGAACGGATGTGGCGTAAAGGAAAGCTGGTGATCGAACTTGATGCCTTAGTTGCACACGGGTTCAGCGATTCTGAGGGAGGTTGAGGAGAGTAGACCTGCATGAGTGAAAACGTTGATGGGAGCCAAAGAGCATGGCTTCCGTCTTGCCAACATTCAGCTGCAAAAAATTTGCGATTATCCAGACCATATCCAGATTATCCAGACCATAAAAATAATAATAATATTGTCAGTCAAACAAGCTGACAGGACATCAGCAGATTGGGAGTCACAGCTGGAGGAGGAGAAGTAGATTTGGGTGTCATCCAAATACAACAACAACAACTTGCATTTGTATAGCACCCTCCACCCCAGGCGGCGTCTCAGAGCACTTAACAATGGTGGAGCCCAAGGCCAAGCCAAGGGGAACGGGGAGGTGACTGTAAGCACAGTCGAAGTGGAAGGTCTTCAGGTGCGACCTGAAAATGGGGAAGGTCGGCGGCAAGGCGAAGGGATCGAGGGAGGGAGTTCCAAAGTTTCAGGGCATAGTGGCTGAAGGCACGGTCACCGATGGTTGAGTGGAGGATTCAGGGGACACAGAGGAGGTTGGACCCAGTAGAGCAGAGGCAGCGGGAATACTGAGATGATAGAAGAGGTTAGAGAGATAGTGGGGTGCTAAGGAATGGAGGGATTTAAACACTAGAGTGAGGATCTTGAAATTGATCCGTTCTGTGACAGGGAGTCAGTGGAGTTTGGCAAGGACTGGGGTAATCAGGTTATGAAGTTTGGTACGGGTGAGAATGCGGGCGGCAGAGTTTTGAATGAGCTGAATATTGTGAATAGTGAAGAATGGGGAGACCAGCGAGGAGAGCGTTAGAGTCGTCCAGCCGAGAGGTGACAAAGGCATGGACAAGGGTATCGGCAGCTTTTGGGGTGAGGTATTGTCGGAGACGGGCAATGTGGCGGAGGTGGAAGGAAGCGGTGTGGTCAGGGAGCGGATGTGGGGGAGGAAGGATAACTGTGGATCGAACTTGACGCCTAAGTTACGCATGGGTTCAGAGAGTTTTAAGGACAGGTCGGGTAGGTTGAGGAAGTCGGAACCGTGAGACAGAAGATATCGATGGGAACCAAACAGTATGGCTTCCATCTTGTTGCTGTTTAACTGCAGGAAATTTGTGCTCGTGTGAAATACATGTGGAAGTTGACCCCATGTCTGTTGATGACATCGCTGAGAGAAAGCATGTAGATAAGGAAAAGAAGGGGACCAAGGCTGGAGCTTTGGCGTACCCCGCAAGTGACTGAGCAGGGTCGGGAGGAAAAACTATTTGTCAAGATGTATCATTGGCGATTTTTTAAAGTAGGACTCAACTCGATTTGTTAATAGGTACTAATCGGAAAGAATCTCTGTCCCCATTGTTTCACCAGTTTGCTCCACCTGTTGACTAACCTAGTCTGTCATCAGCAGTGTCTGGAACTGGTGACCCAACTGGCTCAGGAACTGGACTACCAAAACCAACACAGAGGGTTGACCAGATTTCGACATTTGCAGTGCAAAGCATGTCTTGGAGCCAGCTCATACAATACAATGTATGGAGCACCTTTCACGTCATCAGGAGGACATCCAAAAGCGCTTGACAGTTCTGACTGGACACCGGATCTGGGGGACCGAAAGCCCAGGTACATTTTGAGATGGAACTTGAAAGAAGGGAGTGGTGGGGATGGAATTGGAGGGATTTGGGAATGGAGTTCCAGAGAGCTCATTACCGAGTAGACCCTGCTTACCGTTTCTCTTTCCCCCCACTTCCCCCTCCCCCCTTCCCCCACTTTCCCCTCTTCCCCCACTTTCCCCTCTTCCCCCACTTTCCCCTCTTCCCCCACTTTCCCATTTTCACCCACCTTTCCCCTCTTCACCCACCTTTCCCCTCTTCACCCACCTTTCCCTACTTCACCCACCTTTCCCCTCCCCTGCCCTTTCCCCTCTTCCCATCTCTTCCCACCTCTTCCCCATTCCCCCTCTTCTCCATTCCCCCTCTTCCCCATTCCCCCTCTTCCCCTCCCATTTCCACAAAGGAGAAAGGTAGGGAGTCCAAACCTCCCTGGATGGATAAGGAAATTGGGATTAAGATAAAATAAAAGAAGGAGGCTTATGATAAATGTCAGGTCCAAAATACAGAAGATAATCAAATAGAATATAGAAAGTACAGACTGAAAAAGGAAATAAGAGGGGCAAAGAGATTGTATGAGAAAAGATTAGTGGGTAACATAAAAGGAAACCTTAAGGTATTTTATAAGCACATAAAGAAAAAGTAAGTCAAAGGTAGGATGGGTCCAATTAGGGATCAAAGTGGAAATCTTCTTGTGAAGGCAGAGGGCATGGCTGGCGTACTGAATGAGTACTTTACATCTGTCTTCGAAAAAGAAGAGGATGTAACCAATGCCACAGTATCGGAGGAGAAGGTAGAGAAATTGGATAAGATAAGAATAAACCAAGAGGAGATACTAAAAAGGTTGTCTGTGCTCAAGGTAGATACGTCACCTGGTCCGGACGGAATGCATCCTAGGTTACTGAGGAAAGTAAGGGTGGACATAACGGAGGCTCTGGCCACAATCTTTCAATCCTCCTTGGACAATGGGGTGGTGCCAGAGGACTGGAGGGTTGCAAATGTTGGTCCCCTGTACAAATAGGGGCTGAAGGATAAACTCGGGAACTACAGGCCAATCAGCCTAATGTCAGTAGTGGGGAAACTTCTGGAGACTATAAGCCAGGACAAAATAAATTTTCACTTCAAAAAATATAGGTTAATAAAGGACAGTCAACACGGATTTGTTAAAGGCAAATCATGTCTAACAAACCTGAGAGAGTTTTTTGATGAAGTAATGGAGAGAGTGGATGAAGATAGTGCAGTTGATGTAGTCTATATGGATTTTCAAAAGACATTTGATGAATTGCCACATAAGAGACATAAGCAAAATAGAAGCCCACAGTATTAAAGGACAGTGGCAGCATGGATACAGAACTGGCAGGAAGACAGAAAGCAGAGAGTGGTGGTAAACGTTTTTTTTTGACTGGAGGTAAGTGTGCAGTGGTGCCCCAGAAGGATCGGTATTGGGAACACTGCTGTTTTTGATCTATATAAATGACCTGGACTTGGGTATAGGGAGTATAATTTCCAAGTTTGCAGATGATGCTAAGCTAAGAAAAACAGTAGACAGTGAGGAGGATAGAAGCAGCCTGCAAGAGGTCATAATCCGACTGGTAAAATGGGCAGACATGTGGCAGATGAAGTTTAATATGGATAAATGTGAAGTGATGCATTTTGGCAGGAAGAATGAGGAGATGCAATATAAGCTGATGGTACAATCTTAAGGGGTTGAAGGAACTGAGAGACCTGGGGTTCATATAAGTAAATCTTTGAAGGTGGCAGTACAGGTAGATAAAGCTGTTAAAAAACATACGGGATACTGGGCTTTATAAATAGGGGCACAGAATACAAAAATCAGGAAGTTACGATGAACCTTTATAAAACACTGGTTAGAGACTGTGTTCAGTTCTGGACACCACACTTTAGGAAGGATGTCAAGGCATTGGGGAGGGTGCAAAGGAGATTTACCGGATGGTACCAGGAATGAGGGACTTCAGTTATCAGGAGAGGTTAGAGAAGCGAGGATTATTCTCATTGGAGCAGAGGTTAAGAGGAGACTTAATAGAAGTTTTCAAGGTTATGAGGGGATTCGATAGGGTGAACAAGGAGAAACTATTTCCACTGACGGGTGGTTCGGTAACCCAAGGGCACCGATTTAAAATAGTTAATTTTTCCACACAGCGAGTTTTTCAGATCTGGAATGCATTGCCTGAAGGGGTGGTGGAAACCGATTCAATAACAACTTTTAAGAGAGAAGTAAATAATTATTTGGGGAGGACACGTTTGCAGGGCTATGGGGAGAGAGCGGGGAAGTGGGATTGAATTGGATAGTTCTTTTCAAAAAGCCGGCAGGGTGGGCCGAGTGGCCTCCTTCTGTGCTATACAATTCTATGATTCCCTTTCTCTCCCCACCTTCTTTCCCCTCTTCCCTTTTCTCTCCACACCTTCTTTCCCCTCTTCCCTTTCTCCCCCTCCCCCCTTTTCCAACTTCTCTTTCTCCCCCTCTTCCCTTTCTCTCCCCTTTCTCCCCCTCCAACCGTTCCCATCTTCCCTTTCTCTCCTCCTTTCCCATCTTCCCTTTCTCTCATTTCCCCTCTTCCCTTTCTCCCCCTCCAACCGTTCCCATCTTCCCTTTCTCTCCTCCTTTCCCATCTTCCCTTTCTCTCCTTTCCCCTCTTCCCTTTCTCCCCCTCCCCCCTTTTCCATCTTCCTTTCTCCCCCTCTTCCCTTTCTCCCCCTCCGACCGTTCCCGTCTTCCCTTTCTCTCCTTTCCCCTCTTCCCTTTCTCCCCCTCCCCTTTTCCATCTTCTCTTTCTCCCCCTCCGACCGTTCCCATCTTCCCTTTCTCTCCTCCTTTCCCCTCTTCCCTTTCTCTCCTCCTTTCCCCTCTTCCCTTTCTCTCCTCCTTTCCCCTCTTCCCTTTCTCCCCTCCTTTCTCCCCCCTTTCTCCCTTCCCCTCTTCCCTTTCTCTCCCTCCGTCTTTCCCCCTCTTTCCGACTCCCCCCCCACTTCCCTTCCTCTCTTTCCCCTTCTCCACTTTCCCTCTCTTCACCCCTCCACTTTCCCCCTCCCCTCTTCCCTGTCTCTCCCCCGCCAACAACTTGTTGCTGAGTCGGACCAACGAGGCGAAACCAAACTTGACAGTTCCCAGCTGTCGCCGCCGACCCCACCGAGGGGACCAATCACCGCATCGTGAGCCGAGCAACGGGAGGTGGGCCGAGAGGAGAAGGCCGTTCATTGGCTGGTACCTCACGCCAATCATTCGCCACCCGGTTGGGGGCGGGCCGTAGTCAGGTTAGGTTACTCGGGAGCAGATCATTCAAACCGTGTCCTCGAGAGCGAACTGGAAGGTTCTGCGGAGCGGCCGTTGGTCATTTATTCTGACGGTTTATCCTCAGAGGGAAAAAAAGAAAAGATTTTTTTATAAGAAAAGAAAAGTTTAATAACCGTATTCTCCGAACGACAGCGGCGACTACATGTTGTTGGAGGAGGAGGAGGAGGAGGTGGCCGTTGTCTCCAGTTGTTGACTAGACCGGAGCCTCGCAACAGCTCGAGCGGCGGCGGAGGCGGAGGAGGGAGAGTGGACCGGCGCAGCGAGCGGTGCCGTCCATCCCCGCCCGGTACGCGGCCATGGAGGAGCGCGACGGCGCCGGCAGGTGGGACGGGCTGTGCAGCAGGGAGGCGAGCCAGCGGGAAGTGGCCATGGAGAGCGTCAGGCAGGCGGTCATGAGCTTGACGGAGAAGGTGGGTTTTAGAAACGGTAAACCGACGCCTCCTACTGCCCCCCTCTCCTCCTCCTCCTCCTCCTCCTGCTCCTGCCGCCCCTCGCCCGCTCCTCTCGCCTCTCTGGACTGTTTGAACACGTACCTGGTGAGACTCCTCGTGTTGTCCAGGAGATGCCCCTTCAGCGACGTGCGGGATAAGTGTCTGGCCATCCTGCAGGGTGTGCAGGTAAGAAACCTCTCTCATCCCCAAATCGTTGCCCTTCACCATCCACCACCCGCAGATTATTGCTTTCCATCCCCCACCCCCCCACCCCACCCCCCGAAATTCTTGTTCCTTTGCGAAATCAGTGCTGCCAACTTTCCTTCAAATCTTTGTCCCATCAAATCATTACCGCACTTTTCGTCAAATCATTGCGACCCCTATGATTTCTGTTACGTATACAATAGCAACAACAATTGCATTTATCCTCTCATGTCGGGAGGACGCCCCCCAGTTGCTGGACCGTCAAAGGTGTGCACCCGAGCTGCAGGGCTGGGAGTCGAGGGGTAGAGGGCAATGGTGGTGGTGGTGGTGGTGATGGGAAGATGCCCGAAGGCGCAGTTAAAGAGGAAGATCTTGAGACAGGCCTTGAAGGAGGCAAGGGAAGGGCTCCGGGATGGAGTTCCAGACGGTGGAGGCAGAATCACTAAAGGCTTGACCTCCAATGGTGGAGCGGGCAGGGTGGGGGACGTGGAGCAGGCCAGCACCTGCTGAGCGGAGTAATAGTATGTGTTCAACTGCAGCATCCAAGCTTAGATTTTGTGTTTTCAGGTCTTTTGGTGAATCTTCAGATTTCAAATGCTGCAGACATCCAGAGCTCACTTCTACTTCATTGGGATTTGGGAGTGACTTTTATGCGTAATGAATGGTTAATGAAGGTTAGCTTAGTATTTTTCTCCTCCCAGGTACCTCTTCATCTCATTAGCTACTAATATGTTATTCGAGTACAACTAAATAGGGCCCATTCATTGTGGAAGATCTGAAAAAAAAGGATTTACTTGTGATTCTTAGTGTTATTAGTACTTGTGATCTCAGAGTTGATAGTGTTGAAGTGTTGGTTCCAGTATATGATTCACTAATGTCTAGTGTAATATACAGTAATTTGATAGAGAATGTATATTTGGTATTTGTAATGATTGTTACCTGGGAAACCTTGAATTGTAGCTGAAGAGCATTTAGTGCTTTGTGAAGAATAAATAATGAGACTAATTTTTGAGTGTATTCATGGGCCACGAATCTAGTGCACCAATATATTTGTTAATATAGGGTGCTCTTTAGTAAAAATGGTATCATTAATCAATATCAGTTTTACTCAGTATCAGTGGCACAGTTTTGTACAATCTGTGCATTGCTTTTCCATTACTGAAAGCAAACACAGTTCTGGCTGCTGCCAGTTTGGCTGGTTGAAACTCAGCTTTCAGCCTCCAGGCCCAAATGTGCCAATGTGTAAGCAAGCTGCATACATTAAAAAAAAGCTTTTTTTCTTCCCTCATGTTTCTAGTAGGGTAAAGAGAAGTTCGTACTGGTAAGTATGAAAGAAACTACCACAATACAGTACAGAGAATGATTAGAATAGTGAAGTTTTAAATAGTTAAGATGGGAATAAAGTATCTGTTTACTGAGCCACCATTGCTCCTCTGGTTACAAAATTCTGCACTATAAATAACCTAAAACATCAAATCGGAAGATGTGGGTCTGCGCTGCTCATGGAATACAATTAGCCTTTTTTTTGGTGGTGGATGGAGGTTTGCTATTTGGATTATTATTACTTATGCCACTAGAGCAGTGGTTTTCAAGCATTCCTATGGAGGAAAGAAAATCTTATCAATTCTATTCATTTATTTCAGATTCGAATTAAAGTATGACAGTTATTCTCAATTAAATGTGCAATTTGTCATAAACATTAGGTGTTGATGGAGTTATTTATGGTTCACTGCAGTTGCTCTGGTCTGATGCAATGCCATCTCTTCCTGTCATTGAACAGGCTTTCTAGTTAACTATATTGACATTGTTATTGGTATCACAACTTGTACCAAGTACTTCCCGGACCAGAGGTTTGATTCTAATCAGTGGTCAGCTGTCTTAAGTATCAAAATGACAAATTACATTTTGTCCATCTGCAACCAGGGCTCCCTCTGCCTCCTCATCCTCCTTGACCTCTCTGCTGCCTTCGACACCGTCGACCACTCTATGCTCATCCACTGCCTCTCCTCTCACCTCAACCTTCACGGCTTTGTCCTTGACTGGTTCAGATAGTACCTCTCACACCGCCTCCACTTCATCTCCACAAATGGTTTCTCCTCCAGCTCCTGCACCGTCTCGTGCAGCGTTCCTCAGGCCTCTGTCCTTGGTCCCCTCCTTTTCGTGACATCACCCGCAGACATGGGATCAACTTCCACATGTATGCGGATGACACCCAACTGTATCTCTCTGCCTCCACCCTTGACTCCAGGACCACTGCTGTCCTGAAAGAATGTCTGTCAGACATCAAGTCCTGGATGAGAGATAATTTTCTTCAGTTGAACGTCAACAAGACCGAGGCTCTCCTGATTGGCTCCCGTCAGCGCCTCCACATCTCAGGTGCTGATAGCATCACCATCCACAGTCGCACACTCCACCTCACTGAGCCAGTCCGGAATCTTGGGGTCTTCTTTGACCCTCAACTATTTTTACCCCACATCTGTGCCATTACCCGCTCTGCCTTCATTACATTGAGGCTCAACTATGCAAACTCACTGCTTGTGGCCTCCTCTACTCCTCCCTTTACAGGCTGCAGATCATGCAGAAATCTGCAGGCCGTGTCCTCTCCCTCACTAGGCTATTACCCCATTCTTACCCAACTCCATTGGCTTCCCATCACACAGTGGATACAATTCAAATCCTGGTCCTCACTTCAAAGCCCTCCATGGTCTTGCTCCCCTTACCTCTGCAACCTCTTAAGCCTCTACCATCCTGCTCACTCCCTCCACTCAGCCTGCTTCACGTCCCCCGCCTCGCTCGCCCCACTATTGGCGGGCGAGCCTTCTGCCACTCTGCCCCACCCTCTGAAACTCCATCTCGCAGTCCCTCTGCCTCACCCCCTCCCTTGCCTTCTTCAAGACCCATCTCAAGACCCTCCTCTTCGACTGTTCTTTTGATCTCGCTGCTTCCCCACCTCCACCCTCCCCGATTCTGACCCCCTGCTCGAGTCTGAAACTGTCCAGTGCCATGGGACATCCTCCTGATGTGAAAGGCACTATATAAATGTAATTTTGTTGTTGTTGTTATTGTTAGGTATGAATATCTCATTAAATCTTGAGCAATGTAAATGTGCTTTGCTTAGTTGTATTCCCAGTGTGCTTGAACAGACATCCTGTGCAGTTCCTCAATATTGTGTAGTCCTGTAGCTCAGTGGTTAGAGCACTCGCCTTGCAAGTGAGAGACCTGGATTCAATTCCAGGCACAGGGCAAAACCTTGGCCAAGTTTCCTTACTCCACATGTCTAATAATAATCCCTCCAAAAACAAAACAATAATAAATTGGTCATTTTCAATCCACGACTGTGGGACGCCTCTGTGCGTAATTGGCTGCCACATTTCGCCCACAAAGATACAGTCAATTCACTTTTCAGTCTATTCTGTGAAACACTTTGAGACGTCTAGAAGACGTGAAAAGCGCTATATCTAATGCAAGGATTATTATTCTTACAATAAAACTTGTTTTTGGCTCCATAGCTGCTGTGCCTGAATTTGAATTGAATGGTATAGCTTGTCTGTAACCTGTGCTCTTTGTAAACAACTTTTTATAAACTTTATGAGCAGTAACATTTTATACTTTTATGCCTTTTTTCCCCACTTGTTTTCTATATTTGATATCATAATTTTGACAAGCCACTAGAAAAAAGATGAATGTACTTGGAATTAAATGCAAGAAATTACTGGACGACTTAAAGATTTTGAAATTTGTGTTAGAATTTTGAGCAAAAAGTCAGATTTTCATTGAAATCAAAATGCAGGAGCTCTTCTGTTGCAGAGGTCTAGCTTAACTGCTAGGTTCTATTCTAGTGATCCCCAGAGTACTGAAGTCCAAGTGAAACCACCACACATCTGGTTTGGGGGAAATAGGGTTTCAGCCAATCCATTCTGCAGCAGCACTTAGAGCCTCGTCACATTTAACTTTGGTATTTGAGAAGATCGTTTCTAGCATAGATAATAATAATCCTTATCGCTTTTCATGTTTGTAGGCCATCTCAAATCTCTTCACAAGATGTAGTGTAAAGTGTAATGACTGAAACTTATAAAAAAATGTGGCAGCTACTTTGCACACAGCACTGTCCAACAAATAGCCATGACCAATTTTATTTGGGGGATTGCTGACTAGAAACCCTTCGCTTTCAAATGGTAGCATGTTCACCTAAACTATAGCAGGTGGGATCTTGGTTTCCCATTCGAAGGACGAGATTAGACTAGTTGTATCCTCATTTTTGGATTGTTCAGGAAGGGAGATGCCTTTTCTTTATGGTTGGTCAAAACCATGCTTTGATACTGTATTCATTTTCCATCTTTCCCTCTTTTTTGTTCTTTAGGAGGTTAAGAAATGTGAACTATAGAAGTTGCACTCAAAGTAATGAATATGTTTAGAGATGTACTAACATCTTAACAACTTAAAGATAAGAATGGCTTCATGTTTTTAAACATTTTTTTTAGAGTGCTCTTGCAGCCTATAAAAAGTGAGGCATTGGTGTTTAAAGGCGTACTAAACAAATCAGACCAATATTGTAATAACTAAAACATGATGTACAGGATAAACTTCTAAAACAAAGGATTTGTGTGAAAGTTCAGACTTGTGAAAACTGTTCTCTTTACATATAATAACATTGAGACAGTCTAGAACGTTATTCTCTGAATGTGCTGCCAATTCTGCTCCACTGTAAGATAATAGGAGGCACAATCTTCTCCTCATTTTCCTTTTTTTTAAACTATCATGCTTCCATGTGCTCTTCTGGTGAAAAGTGTGGTAATGTAAGATGACCCCATTAGAATGTGCCTTGGTCAAGTATGGGGTTGCTTTAGGGCTTCTGAGGACTATACTGTATATACTAAAACCCCAGCTAGCTGGACTAATGGGGGGTGGGGGGGATTTGGTCCAGTAAGCCGGAATTTCCAGGTAAGTTTCCGACAATGCCGGTAACAGCCTTTAATGGCTTC